GTAAAAATTTAACAAACAAACAAACATTACAAGAAATAAAACCTACTTCTTTACAAGTAATAACCCACAAACTTTTACTGTTTCCTTACATTCTCTTCAAGAAACTGAAAAATATCAGATCACATTTATTCGTCATAAAATATAAGCAACTTGGATTAAACAAGCACATTATCTGAGTTGTATTATTTTCTATGTGAAACTGTGTTAGTAATTTCAAAAGTAAAAGTACTCAATTAAAGGTGAGAATGAGCTGGTTTTCATTTACAACTTTTGTGCTGCCATCTATAAATTGTAACTGAAAGCACATACTAAGCTCATACGTATTATATATGACAAATGTTCAACTATTTCAGTATAGTACTGTGGCAAAACTCAGCTTACATTAAACAAAAGCTGTTGGTTGATACTGGACTTGTTTAATTTTAGACATATTTCTATTGGTTTTTTGTTTAAGTCATGATCCTACAGTAATGGTAACCACAGGTATTAGTGTTTTTATATTCCTGTTTCTATGGATCCATTATCATCAAATTAACTATATTCAAGAAAACTATTTAATAACATGGATACATGTGTACTTTAATTTGATACAACTACGTATTAATTACATCGATATCTATGTACTAATTGTACTTACTACGGTATAAAAAACATTACCTCGATATTTGTGAGTTTAAGAAAAAATATACAACTGGATATTATCAGTTTCTTATATAAATATATCTAAATCCAAGAAAAGAGGTAAAACTTAGAGGCCGCCATCTTTTCATTCTTCTTAAGAGTGCTGAAAATAAAAATCAGGTATATATATATGCATGTGTTTCGAACTGAAAACTTCAGACATACACTTATCAAAATAGTTCAACTATAACGCATTAGATGGCAGTAATGTTGGATCAGGTCATAAACAGAAGGTTGTAACCTGATAAGAAACTGTTAAAAAGTACAGAAAAGGCGTACTTGATTTTAGGTCTTATCATTTTTTTTCTATTGGACCAATAAACAATTACACATTTTTAAATAGCGTCTAATAACTGGGATGGCGGATGAACACATGGAACGTTTGAACTGTATGCTGTATGAGAGTAATGAACGCTTTAACTGTTTACTGTATGACAGTAAAAGATTAACAGTAAAAGGTAAAAATTGTGCAATTTTATTTTCAAGCTACTCGTTAACCGTAGACGATTTGAACATAGGTTTGTAATTATTTCGCTAAAGCTACAGCTTAATTACAAGATAACACAGCAAAGTAACTTTCTAACACTAGCTTATTGTTTGTTACATTTAATTACAAGATAATACAGCAAAGTAACTTTCTAACACTAGCTTATTGTTTGTTACATTTAATTACAAGATAACACAGCAAAGTAACTTTCTAACACTAGCTTATTGTTTGTTACATTTAATTACAAGATAACACAGCAAAGTAACTTTCTAACACTAGCTTATTGTTTGTTACATTTAATTACAAGATAATACAACAAAGTAAGTTTCTAACCCTAGCTTATTGTTTGTTACTTTAATTACAAGATAATACAGCAAAGTAAGTTTCTAACACTAGCTTATTGTTTGTTACATTTAATTACAAGATAATACAGCAAAGTAAGTTTCTAACATTAGCTTATTGTTTGTTACATTTAATTACAAGATAATATAGCAAAGTAAGTTTCTAACACTACCTTATCGTTTGTTACCTTTAACTTGAATATATCTTAATTTGAGAACGAATATTCTTGCTACATTATCTATACACTGAGTGGTCACAAGTAAATAGACACCTAATTTGTCGTCATTTAACTGATTTATGCTAACGAATTTGTGTTCACAGGGCACTAGATAAATGAAAATGGTCCGCTCACTAATTATCTTGTGCTACAACATGCCTAGAACTGAAGGTTCTCTCGAATTGTCAGATTTTGTTAGAGGAAGGATAGTTGGTCAAGCAGATGGTGGAATAAGTCAGCGGCAAATTTCGCAGAATTTGGGAATCCCGCTTTCGACAGTCAACAGAATCATCGTGCAGTTCAGGAAACACGGCAAGAAAACAACTAAGCAGCTTCCGGTATCGTCTTGGTCCATAGGAGAGGACAAAAAGGGCTGTGAAGAGGAGCATCGAAATGGATCCCAGATAACGACTGCAGAAGTGGCCAAAGTTGGTGGGATGAGCCCGAAATCTGTTCAACGGAATCTCCACAGATTGGGTTATCGTTGCAGAGCAGCTAGGCGGAAGCCCTTATTAAGACCTGCCAACATAGTCAGACGAAAGAAGTGGGCAAGTGATATGATGACCAAGCCTCTGGACTTTTGGAAGACCGTATTGTTCTCAGGCGAATCAAGATTCGCTCAATTTTCGGACAGTGGAAGGATATGGGTCTGGAGAATGCCTCACCAAGAGTTATGGCTCAACAGATTGCAGCCAACTGTGAAGCATGGTGGTTTCAGCGTAATGGTTTGGATTGGTGGGAGATCGAGCTTAGTGGAGTGCGTTGGCAACATAAATTTTGCGAAATACGTCGAAATATTGGAGGAAGGACTCTTGCCACTTTGTTCCTCGGGTTTCGTGGACAAGAACACAACGTTGTTCCAGGAGGATGGAGCACAGTGTCACACTGCTAGAAACACCCAAAAGAGGCAGGAAGAAAATGGTATCCAGATGTTTCCCTGGCCGAGCCGATCTCCTGACATGAACCCCATCGAAATCCTCTGGGCCATACTCGACCGGCAAGTCAAGAAACAACAACAACAAAAAACCAACTTCGAAGAGCGATCTACTCCAAGTTTTGAAGCAAGAGTGGGCGAAAATCCCACAATATAAAATTGACAAGATGATTCTCACGATGCCCCAAAGGATCAATGAACTCCACGAAGCGAAAGGAAGATCTTCTAGATATTAATTAAATTATAAATATATCAATTCATGTTAATATGACTGAAAAAGTTCATTTTTTCTACAAAGGTGGTGTCTATTTACTTGTGACCACGCTGTATACTGCACTGCTACTCAACTATATAACTAAACAGCGATATATGTTATAGTAATTTATCTCGTATGTCAGGCTACCCTAAAGTTAAACAGTTGATGCTCCATTTAATCGATTTTCATTGGTCACGAGATGTTGTTAGGGTTTGTTGTGGGAAAGTTTGTTTTACGGGTGTTAAGTTTTCAATGAACATTAATTCTACGAACGTATGAACTATTGTTTTTGTGTCAGTAAGTAAGGTATTCTCTATTATTTATTTGGTGTTACTTTCATTAACAGTACTGGTTGGAATATTTAAAATATCTAGTTTTATTATTTTGAAATAATGTTATCATATTTGCATTATAAAAATTTGTTAGCTTAATACATGGACTTATGACTAGCCTAAATCTCCTAAGTTTGCTGAACCTCGAGAGAAACTATTTGGTCTACGACCGAAAATGTTACTAACAACAAATGTACTAAGCTGACGAAATAATACATTGTAATCTTTATATGTAAGAACGTAAACATTGTATATTTAATTACGTATACTCATTATCTGTTTGATTTTTGGTTTGATTTAAATAAGTAGCTTGCTTTTATCGGAAGTTAGTTCTATCAATTTTACACATTAATTTTAAGAAGATCACTAATAATATTGTTTAGTTATTATAATATACTGACAAAGGCTACAGTTAACAGAAGATGACTAATAATATTGTTTAGTTATTACAATATACTAACAAAGGCTACAGTTAACACACTGAGAGCCTATGTTCATGTTTACATATAAAAAGTTTTCAAAGCTATTCTGCCACCAATAAAAAGCCTGTTATTAACACTTTGACCGTCTACATCCATGTTCTCATAGTTTTTTACTGCCCTCTGTCGTACTGTATGGAAATTACAATTATTCAATAAACTTTTCATTATGAATTAATAATTCAGTTTCTATCCCCATGAAGATCTGCTTTTATGTCAGTTCACTGTTATTCAAAGTACTACCGCAAGCTGTATTTTCAATGTTTTAACTTAGATGTTAGCTAGGGGGCGCACGAGGTTAAAATCTAGTAAATTTGACATTAACTATAAATACGAGTAAGCAGATAGTTAACGTCAAAGTAAAGAACTTAGTGTGAAGTATTCGTGTAGTGAGTGAGAATTCAGAGAAATTAATGAGTGGTCGAATATATTTAGTGTTTATAGTCTATTAAGTTAATCGGCCTGTTAGCAAAGAAATTATAAGTGAGAACTTTATTTATGAACTTAGGCCCACAACAAGTTAAAGCAAATGTTCTGGAAGAAATAAACTAATGTGTTTTAGTCACGCGAACTGGACTTAACCATATTTTGACCAAATAATTCAAAAGTACCTGACTGACGATAGAATACTTTACAGTAAAGCGTAGTTGTCTATATGCTAGGCCTAAAGAACACAACAGCAAAAATGTTTACGCTTAGTTCAAACGATATTTAATTGCAACGCCCGAACAGTTATAAGGATTTATTTTCTCAAGGATCAGCTCTAGGTAAATTTTTTATTGTCTACTAAAAAATAATAATGTCATTGTTAACCTATACATAAGGTAGTCTCAAGGCTGTGTAAGATATGAGACTAAGAGAGTCATGTGCTACTGTTAGATCTTTTGGCCTAGGTTTAATACGTTAACTTTTTCGATCTTTTAATGTTAGCAGATTTATTCACGCTGGTTTAAATTATACGCAATAGACTATTCGACAGAATATATACCTTTTAATTTTTTGGAGCTACGAAAACCACCAGTAAACCAAAATATTTAATATGACATGATTTTCTCAGAATCGCTTTCTAAATTCATATTTACAGTTCTCCCGCTAGGTTAATACAAAGAAGATGCAAGAAGAGATTATATTAATATTGAGTGTTACAAGTTTAGTCTCACAGCTAGGTGGTCCGATAAACCGCGGAGGTTCACAACGTTTTTTAAAAATAATAATTGTTGTTATAGCTTCATCTAAAATCCAGGATTTCACGACAGCCGAGTTGTAAAGAACGGAAGTCTATTACAAATGCTTAGTAATGTAAATTTGTTAACTGGCACAATATTTCTACACTTGAATTCTTTCCTATGTATATCAGATTAGACTTTGACGTGTGCCTATGCAGAAGACTGTAATGTTTGTTTATAAAATACATTTCCAATAGATGGCGCGTCGAATAATAGATAAACCATCACGTGAAAAAAAGAAAAGAATTAGTGTTATCCCGCGTTACAACAGGCAGATTACAGATCTGATTACTGCGAATATTTAGTTAATTAAATGGTTGCGTAACTTAGAGCAGAATTCCATTTGAACTTGCTGTGTAAATCAACGATGTTGTTAATTGTAGCCCGAGTTCTAACCCTAATATTTCTCTTTCTTGGAACTTTACTTTGCGGGACCTTTCCACTGTTACTTATTCACTGCCTACAGCAACCTTCGATAAGACGTGAAGCTTGGGGCAAACCGTTCATTTCGCTCTTGTTAAATTTCGGTGGTGGAGTGCTACTGTCTGTGAGCTTTCTTCACTTGTTACCCGAAGTTCGTAACAGTTATGAAAGTTATTGGGGCAGCAATTACGACCAATCACTTCCACTAGCAGAATTGATAGTCTGTGTTGGGCTCCTAACGATATACGTGCTAGAAGAAGTTTTCCACACAGTTATAAGGTGCTTCGGCCAAACCCCTACCAACAATGATTGCTGCGCTCATGAACAGTGGCCAGTCTCGCTTGCTTGTAGTCAAAGGAACAGCGAGATTGAACGGCGATCATCTCATGATAGACTAACAGAATGTAACAACAGACGTTACGGCTCTTTAGATCTGGACGATCAACCAACAGGTGGACAAAGTTCAACACGTATGGTTTTGTTTCGAGGTCTTGTGATAGTTTTAGCCTTATCCTTTCACTCTGTGGTTGAAGGTTTGGCCGTGGGGTTACAACCGACAGTGCAAGACACATGGACTTTATTCTTTGCTGAAGCTGTACACAAATTTATTATAGCTTTTGCTCTTGGGTTAGAGCTACATAACGAAGGGAATTCGTTTCGAAAAGTAGGTTTTTACATGTTGGTATTTTCTGTTATGACTCCACTGGGAATTGGTATTGCAGTGTTAACCGATCAGGCTGTCACTCAAACATCTCAGCTCGTGATAGGGACTTTAAATGGATTGGCCTGTGGAACACTAATATATGTGACCTTCTTCGAAGTTCTTCAGCGATCCCGCAGCTCACTCTTGCCAGGGTTACTACAACTGTTGGCTGTCATCCTGGGTTTTGGATTCATGACTGTCGTCCGCTATTTCCTACACCACCACCACTAAGCCTTCAAATTCCAACCAAATAAAAAAAAAGTAAAAACTTGGACAACAAGAACTATAAATTCAGTCTCATGTCGGGACATTTTTGTTTAATCTTTTAATCTACGTTTAATTAAGTGCTGTTAGAATGTTTATCAATAAATTTACGTAATTCGACCAGATGAAGAGTCTCTACCTTAATCATTCTGTCAATACAACTTGGATTGATGTCGAAACAGTTGTAAGGACACCTGAAATCATCAGGTTCATTATATCTTTTCATGGGGAGATATTTTTGTTAGAAAAGTATCGAAATAAGTTTTCTGTGTAACATTAAAAGTAATGGCCTGTAGTTAGATAAGTAATTAGAAAGTAAGGTTATCAATACCATCGATACACTTAAATAAGTAACTAAAAGGCAATGTAGATTCATGCGAATATTAATCATAATGACATATAGGTGTAGTCCATTAATACCTCTGGTGTTTGTAATCAGATACTGGTTACCATTGAAATAATCTAATGTTTTATTAAAGTTTATTCTCTGTGTCAAGCCACCCTTCATCTAATGGTTTAATAAAGTGTATTATCTGTATCAAGCCACCCTTCATCTGATGGTTCAATAAAGTGTATTATCTGTATCAAGCCACCCTTCATCTGATGGTTCAATAAAGTGTATTATCTCTATCAAGCCACCCTTTATCTAATTGTTTAATACAGAATAATTTACTTAGAAATATAATAATATTGAAGTGAGTGTGTGAATAAGAAACATTCAGTTAGAAATATAGTAATATTGAAGCCCATAAATTATTGACCGTGTTCTCTATTTGAAATTTCTATAAATATTTATAACAAAACAAACTATTTAACGTTTATATGCAATACAGTTAAGAGTCAAAAGCATTATAAATGGTAGGAGTACGTGTTGTCTGAACACTTGTGAAACTTGAGTATAAACTCAATGTACAGGTATTAGAATAGCTCGTTCGAATAAAGATCTTAATTGTAAGTACAATATGCTGATATTAAGTGATAAATAAGGCCAAAATTTATTGGCCTTTGATTATTATTTTTAAAACAATTCGTAAAGTTGTCTATCACCTCACGCGTTACTAATATTAGGGAGTGAAACACGTTCAACAGCCAAATAAAGACAATTGAAATTTGTTATGAAATTCGGGAAATTAGTACATTGTAAATGTCTAGGAACTTGAGTTGTAATTAAGTTACTAATTCTTAACTCCCCACTAGAACTCATTTTTAGTTACATTACCATTTTCACTACCCTCAACCCCCAAATCATAGCGAAGTTCATGTAAAAAGTCCCCTACTTGTACAGTACATGTATCAAGGTCGTTAGAAAGTTTACACTTACTACGCCACATGTAACATAGACATTAAAACTACAGCTGGACGAGTTATAACAGAAAAAAAGTGGCGACAGTGCCTAATCCTATACTTTGAAACAATTGTAATAAACTGGGTTAAACTGAAAGGAATAAGCTGTCAAAAATGAAAGTTTTGAAATCTTATTATCAGAAGACCAAGGCAGTGATATACTGTTCCATTTTCTTTTTATAAGAGTTAAAGATAAGAACGAAGCATCAACTCACTTACGTGGTCGATATGTTCATAAAAACTAACCATTAAAACGTCTAGACAACAACTTATTATTGTAACAAAAATAAAATAAATAAATGTTTAGATTTCACAAATAAATCTCGCATTTTTTCTACTTTCTACTAGAAGATCCCTACAACATACCCACTAGTAGAGGATACTCTTATGTTGTATGTTTGATCCTCTACAACATACCCACTAGTAGAGGATACTCTTATGTTGTATGTTTGATCCTCTCAACATACCCACTAGTAGATGATACTCTTATGTTGTATGTTGATCCTCTACAACATACCCACTAGTAGAGGATACTCTTATGTTGTATGTTTGATCCTCTCAACATACTCACTAGTAGAGGATACTCTTGTATTGTATGTTTGATCCTCTCAACATACCCACTAGTAGAGGATACTTTTGTATGTTTGATCCCCTACAACATACCTACTGGTAGAGGATACTCTTGTATTGTATGTTTGATCCCTACAACACACCCACTAGTAGAGGATACTCTTATGTTGTATGTTTGATCCCATACAACATACGTACTGGTAGATGATACTCTTGTGTTATATGTTTGATCATCTACAACATACCCACTAGTAGATGATACTCTTATGTTGTATGTTTGATCCCCTACAACATACCCACTAGTAGATGATACACTTATGTTGTATGTTTGATCCTCTCAACATACCCACTAGTAGATGATACACTTATGTTGTACGTTTGATCCATACAACATACCTACTAGTAGATGATACTCTTATGTTGTATGTTTGATCCCATACAACATACCCACTAGTAGATGATATTCTTATGTTGTATGTTTGATCCCTTACAACATACCCGCTAGTAGAGGATACGTTTTTGGTAGATAATATTTTGTGTTCTTTGTTTGTCCACATCCATCACAATCGTTAGTAGAAGAAGAATCATTTCGTGTTCCTTATTTCATCATAATTAGTTTAGTTTAATGTTCTTTTTTGCTTTTCCTAAGCTCATGAGAAACATGAATTCTTCAGTTGAATCTTTAGCCTCAAGTTACATCTTTAGAACGTGACTATCTCCATCTGGTTTATTTTATTTGTCTCCTGTAGAAACACTGGTATATGACTTTGTAGTTTAGTTTTTATATGTATATACATATATATATATTTATGGTGAAATTATTAATTCCAGAGTGCCTCGAATTTCAATTTTACTGCTATATCAAGGTCCCAGTTTTAAGGTGGATAAGAAAGATAGCCATTGTTTCATAAAGAAAACAAGTTTCGGTTGCTTAGTAATGTTGACGTTTTTCACTGACAATAATTGTTCGATAACAACAAGTTTTCCGTTGCTTGGCAACATTTTTTATTATTGGCAAGAACCGTTTGATAACAGCAAGCTTTCGGTTGCTTGGTAATATTTTGTTTTGTTGTTGACAAGAATTGTTGGATGCAGACAATAAGACTTTAGGTTACTTAGTAACATTAACGTTTATTACTGCCAAGAAATGTTCGATAACAAGTTTTAAGTTGCTTAATAACATTTGCTTTCATTACTGAGAAACTAGATATTATATAACACAGTAAAGTAAATCTGGTCCCATAAGCTGATAATATTTATCATAAATAAATTCTAATTACATTTCACATTACACGTAGAATAAGAAATTTAACTGTAAAATGAACTTTTTTTTTCTTCACACAGCTTATCTTGAAGACACCAGTTGTATCATGCAGGTGGCAGCACTGCCTATGTAAGGATGGCTCGGATTGTTCATCGAAATGGTATTTTAAATATCTCCTCAATAGGTTATGGGAACTTTACAATACTATACAGTGTTTCCTTTTATAACTATATCTATGTAATGGCTGAGTCACAAGTTCTGGGAATGTCTGTAAATATCATAGCAAAAAGGGTTGAATTTCTTGTTCTTCTTTCTTCTGCTTCTTCTTTTTTATTACATGATAACTCAAAAATCAAAACAATGGTGTCAACTAATTTTACTGAGGTGACATAGTTTCAAACGATGTATCCGCTTTTATAAGTATTATTAACTAATAATAATTATAGTCTAAAGAATGTTATCATTACCCCTTGAAGTTAGGTTTCTTACAAAAACAGGAATTACCAGCTAATAATAGATAAACAATAAATATTACAGTTGGAACCTCATTGTATTTAGAACTTGATTATAAATACAACCTTCCTGTGTCTATTGAAACACTACATTAGAAAACAAGTAAAAGAAAACTTTTCCAACATGGAACTAAATGTAGGGATGGCATTTGCATCATCCCTAGATAATAGCACAAGCAAGAATTAACATATAGCAAAATATATAACTATTCAATCACACCTGAGTTTAAGTTATCCTGTTAACATTCTACTACACTGTGTGCCTGTGTTATTATATGGGAATGGTGCATTGTTTTTGAAGGATTGATATTAGCCATCCCTACATTTATTTCCTTTTTTGAAAAGTTTTTTTCTTTACTAGTGTATATAGTTTTACACGGTATCCTGAAGAGACCATTTGTGTGTATACAATTTTAAACAGGATCCTGAAGACACTAGCTGTATGTATATAGCATAGAGTTTCATAGAAAATAATAATTTTGTTTAATACTAATTAAATTTACTTAAAGATTGGAGTTCATGTGTATTTTTAATTATAAGTCAGGAGCACTCTCCGCCACAAGGGTTTTTCTCGGCTCTTTGAACCTAACTAAAAAAAAATACTCGCACTACGCTGATCAAAAGCCCCCTATTACTCAACCCCCCCCCCCCACTTAATCTCCTCCATTAATCCGAGCTACTTCGATAGCTGACCCAAGGTGTTCGTACCCGAAACAGAAGGTTGGAGCTCTCGTCCGTGGTATCTGAGTTCGGTTTCACTAGCTTGTGAGAAGGTTACGAACACAGTTTCAAAAGTGGCACTCTCGGGATCCCGGAGATGATGGGGCTTGGAACACAAAATCCGATGCTAGACTCGTGTTCATCAACCGCGAAAACATTATTCTAGTCACCTCTGTATGCTTAGGAGACCTTCCGAGCGCGTTGTATCCCTCTAGGTGCCCCAAATAAATAAGGGTATGAGGGTACGCCATATAGATAAGGAACCCCTCGGGTCATCCAGAGTTCCAAGTTTGGTCCTGCTAGCTCCATAAGTGTGTAAGGAGTCCACAGACAAGTAAACTCGCAAACACACAGCCTGAATTAATATAGGATAAACTGGACTGACTGTCAATTTTAAAGCGTGTCCAAGGCTGTACATGAGGACCTTCACGTGCCGAACTTTAAAATCTTCGATTTGCCTTCCAGCACGCTAACTACTAGCCCACGTTCAACCAGAGAATTTCTTACAATATCACTACTATCAATGTTTGTACATCAGGCTTAGCAGTTGATGTAGGAAAAAAATAAATTGAAAATACAAAATGAACATCTGAACCATGATCTGTATGTGTATCCACTTATAACTGGATCGATTGTCGCCAAACTTGGCATCCACCCTTAAGGCTCCATCGGGAGTGACATGGGAGGTGGCTTTTAGGTCTATCCCCCTCCCTTATGTCATGCCTGGATCTATGTCTTCCCCTTACGTTGATGTTGTTGTTTGTTATCAAGCACAAAGCTACACAAAGGCTATTTGTGCTCTGCCCACCACGGGTATCGAAACCCGATTTCTAGCAGTATAAGTCCGCAGACATACAGCTGTGCCATTGGGGGGGGGGGGGCTCTTTACGTTGAATTGGTATAACTAAAATTAAATGCAAAACCAAAGAAACTGAGAATTCCAAAGCATATAATACATTTTGTTTTGTCAGGAAAATGATGATTGTATCTGTACATTTTCCTAAAGAAGGTAGTCAATTACCAGTGGAACAACGAAATAAAAAAGTTTTAAAGCAGTTAAATATTTATA